CGTCGCTCATTTGGTTTTGCGTAGCTTTCTTTCTCTTTAATTTTTTTGTTTAGCTTCTTCAATGAAGTAGTAATATTACGGCGGCTGTACACCGATGATGCAACTGAGTGGGAAATTGGCCTTGAAACTGACAAGCGTAATGCGAAAAACACCAAGACCGTTTGGGTTATCAGTGTGGGTATCCCATATTAGTGCTGTTGCTGGAACAATCTGTTACACAGTGGGCATAGGCCCTGCAGTTCTGATCTGCATAACTCCAATTGATGATGGATTTTATCAACTATTTTTTGAAGTTTGGGTCAAGTTCAATTCATAATGTAGTTGACAACTTTTCTCTGACCAGTGCTATGTCACACGGTGGTTAGCTTTTAGAGGTCTTATCAGTCATCTCGTCTTTTAAAAAGATCCAGCTGTACGATTCTTCAGATAGAGCCATTTCACTGGTTTCTACTTGTTCGTTGGTGTGTGTTGAGAATCATTTCTTTGTCTTGAATGGTACCATGTCTAGAAATGAGGTATAGCTTACCGATTTAGTAAACTTTGAAAATTTAATTCTGAAATGGAATGTCGTATAATATATCAAGTAATGATTAATGGTTTTTGTTAAAAGTAGGTTAAAGATCAACCGCGTTACTATGACGCAGTACCTCTGTCCCTGGTTCAAACTTCCACCGCCCTACCCTCCTTGAACTTTTGATCTCTGTCGCCTGAGGTATGAAAGCACTCCTCCCTATTGCCGGGATCGCCACTACCTATCCACCACTGCGACCTACTTCTATTTAGCTAATACTCCTATTCTGGGGAGCTTCGGCTCCCTAGAGCCTTACCACGTTGATTTTTATTCTCGCTTTATTAATAAATATGCATATAGGACGCGGCACCGTACACACGCACACAAGCTTACACACACTAGTTTAACAAGGTAACAGTTAGGGTCGCGATAGGAATTCTATTAGTTTTTTGTAGTCGAATTTGAAACCGGAGTATGCAGCCCAGGAACGAAAAATCAGGGCGTAGTTGCGCTTTCGAAATCACTAACATTTCATCGCAAGACGAAATCGAAAATCGAAATAGCACAACGAAACACTTTGATCGATCGGGAATCTTTGTTTTTTTTCATGCTTTATTCACTTTTTGCAATCCGATCATTCGGTCACAGAAATGATTGTTTAAAATCAAAACAAATTTGTTATTCAAGGCTAATTAAAGCCAATTTGTTACTTAATTCGCTATTTAATTGTTTAAATTTTTAAGACGGATTCATTATTTGATTATTTAAATTTTGTTCAGACAATGACAAATTTATCAATTCGTTTAGAAAGATTTGCATTATTTGTCAGAATTTGTCCTGAGAAGAACCCAAAAAAGCCATA